GGCATGTGTCTGTAATTCCAGCTACTTGGAAGGCTGAGGTGGAAGGATCACCTAAGCCCAGCAGGTCGAGGCTGTGTTGGCTGTGAACATGCCACTGCACTCCAACTCAAAAAAATAAAAATAAAAGAAAGAAAGAAAGAAAGATAACTTGTTGTATCTATCCCATGAGTCTAGCAAATATGCAGGCCCCAAAAAGACACTGTAAATGCTTACTGAGTTGTATTTAATCCAACAAACTTTACATCTTCCTTATTTCCTATCTTCCTTTGCATTATCACCTTCTAGTCGCCTCTAAAGTCACAAACTGAACAATTCTCTTAAAATCTTACCATCGTCTCTGTCTCCTTACCTTCATTTTCCCTGCCTAAAATACTTTCCCTATTCCAGTGTTTCTCACTGACATTTAGCAGCCTTGGTCTCACCCACTAAATGCCAATAGAGTCTGGACCATTTTAACAGCCACAATAAGTCCTCTGGTTGAATACCACTGGAAAAGGCATCCTTTGGACCTACAGTGGGCACAATATTATTCTGCCTATCCAGTACTACCACCTGTCTTAGAAAGTGTTCCTTCCCTTGCTCGTGCTAGAAGGAAGTACTATATTCCTATAAGACTCTGCCCTTCTAGATACAGTTGAAATATCTGGCATGTCTGAAGGGTGTTGGGTATTACCCAATCCATAGCAGGTGTTGAAATTTAATAGAAAGTGAATGGTTCAGACTCCCTTTGTCTTTCTGTGGTAGAATTCCTTTTACCTAAATGTGCATAAGTAAATAATCTCCCTAGACAGGTTGAGGCATATATAATTGAAGCATAATTGGCCAAGTGGTGGCCAATTGAGAATACAGAAATTGAATACAAAAATTGAGAATACAGATTGCTAATATGGTGATATCTCTTGAAGCAACAATAGACAAATAGATATAAATAAAATTTCAGGCAAAAAATAAATGTTATTGGGAAAACCAGAACAGGAGGAGGGAGAATGCATATGTCTAATGTCTAAATAAACACTACTTGCACCAGCAAACCATTAAGTTTCTTCAGGGGAGGTGAGAGTCACAAAAACACTTGAATTTTTCTAAAAACTGAAGTAAAAATCTTGAAAAAAAAAATTGAACTTCTCTTATATACTTTTCCTTGATAGGTGGCCAGAAAGGAAAAGGGAATTGAAGGTAAAATATGTGAATACAATACAAAAGACTGCTGAGTTAAGGATATGGGTGCTGTGAGGGTAGCAGTTTGGAAATAGAATGGAGAGATGGATATGGGCCTGGGAATCACCTTTGTTGTCACCAAAAAAGCTAAGAGAAAGAGCTTCAGTTTGGACAATGGATGGACAGGGACGAGCTAAGAAGAATAAATCTTTTAATGTACACATTAACTTGTACCAAGCTAAAATGAGTCTGTATTTGGGATTACTGAACTGTATTCTCAATTTTGGTGAATGACATCACAACCCATCACTTAATAGTCCAGAAATCTGAGTCACTGGCGTCACATTGACTACACTGTCCTCGTCCCTCAAGGTTAATCATCCATCAAACCCTGTCAATTTTGCATTGTTTTGCCAACCCACCTTCTCTACATTGTTACTACCATTGACCTAGTTCAGGTTCCTATAATCTCCCACTTAGACAACTGGTCTTCCTGCCTCCAGTCTAATCCCTTTCCAATCCATGATTCATATGCTGCTAGAATAATCTTTCTCAAGCATGCATCTGACCATGTCACTTTCCTTAACAAGCTCCTCCATTCCCCAGCTGCCCAGCTCATACCACCTAAAAGTTAAACTTTTAGACATAGCATTCCAGACCTTTTGTTCCTTGTTTAACTTTAATTACCTAGCCTGTTCATAACCTGTTTAGCCTTCATTCTGACCACTCCCCTCCTCCCCCCAAGATCTAGTCATACTGACCTACTTTCAGTTACTCAAACACATCGTGCTTTATCAAGTCCCTACACATAACCGGAATGCCTTCTCCTCCCTGTGCCAGCCTGGAGAATGCCAATTCACCTTTGAAATGAAGTTCAGGAGTCATCTCCTCCTGACTTACTCCAAGCAAATTCAGTTGTCTCTCCTTCAGGGACTTTGCAACTACTTGTACACACTTCCATATTGTGCACATTTGTTTGCTTGCCTGTCTCCAATTGGTATTGGGAAACTCTCTGAGAACAAGTCTGTCTTTTATTTATCTTTATATTCTTTGTATCTAGCTTCAGCTTAAGATAGGTACTCAAGGTTTGTTAAATGAGTGGATGAAGATTTTATAGGTACTTTAGGTTTCCCCAAAATTGTAGTAAAGGAGCTTCTGCACACAGAATAGCTGATGGTATGTGTATGGATACCTTAGGAAAAGGCCTTGACATTTTTGGTTTTGCTTTTTAGGCCATAGTATTTTAACCACTCGTTCAACAATTATTTGCTAAACACCCACTATGTTTCAAGCCTTGTGCCATTTTTTTTTTCTTTTGAGTCAGAGTCTCACACTGTCACCCAGGCTAGAATGCAATTACATGCTCATGGCTACCCCAGCATCCACCTGCTGGGCCCAGGCGGCCCTTCAGCCTCAGCCTTCCAAGTAGCCAGAACTACTGGCTGGCGCTACCATGCCTGGCTAATTTTTTGATTTATTGTAGAGAACAGGGCTTACCAAGTTGCCCAGGCTGTTCTCCAACTTGTGGGCTCAGGCAATCCCCTCACCTTGGCCTCCCAAAGTGCTGGGATTACAGACTTGACCCACCACGACTGGCCTCTTGTGCCATTTTTTTTTTTTTTTTTTTTAGTTGGAGTCTCACTCTGTTGCCCAGGCTGGAGTGCAGTGGCATGCTCACGGCCACCGCAGCCTCGACCTGCTGGATCAGGCGACTCTTCTGCCTCAGCGTTCCAAGTAGCTGGAACTACAGGTACGCGCTACCACATCTGGCTAAGTTTTTTGATTTATTGTAGAGATGAGGTCTCACCAAGGTTGTGCAGTCTGGTCTTGAACGTGTGTACTCAGACAGTTCCCTCACCTTGGCCTCCCAAAGTGCTGGAATAATAAGTGTGAGCCACCGCGCCCAGCCCTCTTGTGCCATTTTTAAAGGTCAGGAGAGGCTGGGCTCGGTGGCTCAACCTGTAATCCCGCGCTTTGGGAGGCCGAGGTGAGTGGATTGCCTGAGCCCCGGGGTTC